TAACTGGGGGTGTGTAAGATGTTACATCCTCGCAAACCTGAGTTCTAGGTCAAATTTTAAAATGACCATCCATGATGAAAGATATTTCACTTTGCTTTAACACCATGGATGACAATTTTAAGTTATTATTTTAATTAGGCTAAAAATGTATCAATTATGGAGTAGAATATTAATATTACCATCACTATCTCCAGCAAACACAAAAAAGTGACGACAACAGTAACAAGTCTCTGTTCTACTTAGTGGGGTCGGAGACATGAATCATTTTCTTCATTGTGTCCTATTGAGTGTCACATGCCCTGGCCTTTTTTGAGTTTACCTCTATCTTTCTTAACATAAGTGAAATTTAAAACGTCTACTCTCCTAAGAGGATCATTAGATGGTCGATATTTAACAAAACTAAACCATCAAACCATATAAGACGACTCTCTCTAATCTTGTCTATTTCTGGAGCCACTCCAACACTTTCAAGGATATATTCGTTTCGCATTTTGTCACTAAGTTTAAAACCACTCATCAACCTATGCATTCTCATCTCAGCAACACTTTATTTTATGCTTCTCTTCTGCAGGTCGACATTCTTCACCCTAATGCATTGTAGTTCAAGTCTAAGTGGTACTATGGTATCAGACAATAGACCCAGTGCATTCCTCCACTCCAACCATCCAACTTGAATTCTACTAATAACATCCCCATCGTATCACCATCGCTTTGAACAATAGCCCGAGATATCTAAAATGCTCACTTCTTTTAATGACTTGATCACAAACTGTTACAACACCGCGACTAGATCCATTGCTACTAAAATTACATTCCATGAATTCAGTTTTATATTTACTCAAACGAAGGTCTTTAGATTCTAAAGTTGACCTCCATAAATCTAGTTTTTTCTGAACTCTCTAGTTTTATGCATAAGAAGGATATCATTAGCGAAAGGCATAAACCTAGGTACCTCCTTCGGTAAATATCACGTAATAACATCCATAACTAAAACAAAAAGATATGGGCTTAAAGCCTATCCTTGATATACTCCAATTGAAATAGGAAAATACTTGGTCAATCCTCCATGTACTCGAATACATATAACAACTCTAGCATACATATCTTTAATGTCTTGAATATAAACGATATTAACACCTTTTCTTTTCAAGAATTCTCCGAAGTGCTTCTCTTGAAACTTTATCAGAAGCTTTTTTTAATCAACATAAATTATATGTTGATCCTCCTTATTCTCTCTATACTTTTCCATCCAATTTCTCAATAAATGTCTAGCTTCCATTGTAGACTTGCTTGACATGAATCTAGACTGATTTTGAGAAATTTTTGTATCACATCGTAACCTATGTTCAGTTACTCTCTCTCTTATTCATCTATAATTTGCACTCTTGTGTATTTATTTTTTCTTAGAAATACGAACCAATAGACTCTTTCTCCACTTAGACAGCTTCTTTAGTTTTTAAAATAATATTAATAAATTTAATAAGTTAAGAAATTTTGAGATTTTCTCTTTTATTGGAATGTCATTAGATTGTACAACCTTTTCACAATTCATTTTCTTTAAATCCACATCAACTTCTTTTTTACTAATGTGATGGTGGAAATAAAAAATTTTGTTGTTATTTATAATATTACAACTATTAAAATTGATTGTATTTTCATGATCCTCATTAAAAAGTTTATCGAAATATCTCACACACCTATGTTGTATATTTTCATTTAAGAAAAATACTTTTCTTATCTCTTTGTTTGAATAATTTATATATATATATTTCATCATAATTAGTCTCTAATCTATTATAAAGATCATTAAAAATAGAATTCTTAGTATTACAAATTATTCTCTTAGACTTCAATTAGGCCATCTCATAGTTTTTCCAATTCTTTGAACCTTTACATTTAAACTAATTTTTATAAGAAACTTTTTATTTTAATCTTTTCTTGCACAATATTATTTCGCCACCATCTATTTTTATTCATAAGGGTTTTTCCTTTTGATCCTCCATGCATATTTTTTGTAAATTGCTTGATAGTATTCATTTTTTTATCCCACATAGTATTTAGTTTATTTATGAACATCCCAAATCTTAAGATATCAAGGTTTACTTATATAATTAATTTTATTGTCTTTTAAGTGCCATCATCTATTTATGAACATCCCAAATCTTAAGATATCAAGGTTTACTTATAAAATTAATTTTATTGTCTTTTAAGTGCCATCATCTAAATTTATAACAAGATTTCGTTTTATTTTTTTATCTTTCAACATTTATCTTAAAATTCAAAATAAATAATCGACGTTGTGTACTTAAATTCTGATATGTAATGACCATACAGTCTTTACAATATCGATGATCTATTTTTTTAAAAAAAGAATAATCAATTTATATTTTTTTAGATTTATTTTTATAAGTGATAATGTACTCATCACTTTTGTTAAATAAAAGTATAATTGTAACAAAATCATAACTAAAATAAAATCTAATATAACACAACTTTCTTTATTAGTCACTCCAAATCATAACCATCATGAATGCTTCTAAAATCTTCTTCACTCTATCGACATGTCCATTTAAATCTCCTCAAATAAAAATACTTTCTTCAAGTTTTCTTTTTATTAACTCTTGTAAGACATTATATAATTTTTTTTTTGTACATATATCTGAATTTACTTAGAGAGCATAAACTTTTATAACATTAATAATTTTAATATACACAATAATTTTTAGAGCTATAATTCTATCATCAATTCTATTAATTTTTACAATAATTTTTTCGAACTCTTATCTATAGTTACACACAACTTCTAGTACAAGTCCTACGTGAATACTAAATTTTAAAACTTATGTTATTTATCTCTTTAGCGTTTTTTCTAACTCATTTAATTTCTTGAAAGCGCAAGATATTTATTTTCCTCTAAATCATAATATATACTATTTTCATTGATTTATTAATGAGAGTGCCTATATTCTAAGATCCTATCATAATATTAGTTTCCATAGATTTATTTGCCCGTATTCGTCCATAATGTGTGAACTCTTGCTTATTTAACACTATATTGAGTGTTGGTGCAACGATCTTCACATATTTTTCACTGTATTTCGACAATATAATGCATCGCTTCCAAGGGATGACATAACATTTACAAAATAATTTTAAATAATTCATCTTATAATTTTTTGATAAAATTTTTATATTGATTGTCAACTACCTAACACTACTCTCTACTTTCACATCCGGGATATAGGACCCAACAATGACAATGTTGAACACAAGAAGTGACTTTGCAAAATAAAATAAGGTTATAAATGAATCGAGCATGGATGAGCTTGGATCTTGATTGTTTCGGGTTATTAATTAATAAGCTAAATATGAATGAGCTCAAGATCATTAAAAAGCTAAAATATATTGTTTGTATTCAAATTTTTTTTATTATTGAGCCAGGCATAAGCAAACTACAAATAACAAGCCAAATCGATGACTATAAAATGCATTGTCAATTTGTCGATTGATGGCTTCAAATGTGTGTAAATTGTTTGCAATTTTCAGGTTATAACATATTTTAAACATCTTAAAACATAAAAGTTGTATCAACCATAATTTGCAAAAGTATATTTGATGTTTTTAATTTTAACAGACATGTATCAAATAAAATTTTATGTTCATAATTATATATTTTTAGATATGCATAAATATATTTATACATATTTATATATATGCAGCTCTTATTAAGCCGGATATAGTTTTGTTGGATCATGTTTGTATGCATTTTCATTAAACAAACTAAAAAAATTCTTAAGATCGGCTTGCTTATCAACAAAAGAGCTAAACATGAACACTTGTTGAGCCAAATATGACTTGTTTGTAAACATCGAACTTTATTGTCACTCCCAAAAAAGTTAAATTAAAACAAAACTAAAACTCACTTTAGTGGACCCCATTTTCAGAACCAATTTCAAACCAGTTTGAATTAGTTCAGTTGAAACAAACTAACGTTAGGTGTTGGACAAATATCAGTAAAACATTATTGAATATATGGCCAGCTGTTTATTTCAATATTTTTTTGGGTAATTCCTTATCTTGACCATGATTCATTATAGTGATCTTTGTTTCAACTTAATTGGTATAACAAGTTAAAGATCTGAGCACGTTTTGAGGTATAGGGACATTGTTCAGAGTATCCATATTTGTGGCCGTGATTTGTTTCAGTTGCTCGTTATCAGTGGTGAGTTGGAAATTGGTAGTAATAAAACAAAGCGGAGAAACCTGGCCACAAGCTGTCACTAAATTTGAGACTATGACGGCGATTGTCCCGTCCCTTCTTAGAAATGGTATATCAGGAGTTACAGTATCTAAATACATCAAGTTAAATAACCACTTTTGTTTTGTGGGCTTTGTAGAACAATTCATTCATATTTTGATACTCATCATATTAAAACGTTCATTTACACGAGGCAAATTTCTAATTAATTTTTTGGCAGCAGTTTTAGCTTCTTGTGCTGACGTACATCAGGAAAATTGGTAATCTAACGTTTATAGCCTTCTATGATTAATGATCTCTTTTACTTTGATATGTTATGCTATCTCGTCCTTAAAGTTGATTTAGCTACCTTGAAGTTCCTGATACTCATGTTGAATGGGATTTTCTCCTTTTTCTTTTTTATTTCAGCTTCCATAAATACTTAAAAACTCCAATGATAAATCAACACTATATTTGTTGTTGTTAGATCATTGTGGTACATGAAGAATCCTTAAGAAATAGCATGTGACGTTTCCTTACCCATTTATTTATCGTAGTAAAGCTTCATATCACACAAGTTCAAAGAAAGCTTGATGATGTTGGTTATTTAGAATCCTGCAGTAATCTAGTTTTACCAAAGGGTAGCATCATCCACATAAGTTGAGGAAAGTGATGGTCAATAGATTTAAATAGTTCGAAGCTTTGTTCTTGTGTGCAATTAATTTTGAAGGATTAATCAGTAACATAATTGATTTTTCTTCAGGTTTTCGGGGAGGGTAGTTGTGTGAAGAAAGCTCTGGAAGTTATTTCATCTCGGCTAAAGGAGAGCTTACATCGTGAGCGTGGACCTTTTCGTGGTCGAATTCACTCGCCAGAGGGCCAATTTGCTCCTGATGATGACTTTATAAGCAACACTCAACATCTTTCAGCATTTGGAAGAGGTGATTTAGTATCTAGAACACCTATTGGTCCAACAAGAGTTAGAAGCACTGTTTATGCTTCAGAAAACAATTATATGTTTGAATCTGATGGTGATGCAATGATTGACCGTCCACAATCATTTTCCAACGAGGACATTGTGTTTCGTATACTTTGCCCTAATGATAAAGTTGAGGCTATTATTGGCTCAACTAATGGAATCATTGAATTGCTTCAAACTGATGTGGGTGTGGATGTCAGGGTTAGTAATCCCGTTGAAGGCTCAAATGAACGGATCATTGTAATCACGTCTGATGAGGTAATTGCTCATGACATTTGGCTATCTTTGTTAATTTTGTTTTAATGGCGTGGATTTTCTGTTTGCTCAATGTGCTATGCTCTCTATAGCATTGCCTTATTTTCTAAGATATGCAACATTCTGCTAAATGAGGAACTATGAATAATGCGAGATATGATTGTAAAAATATTGTTGTCATCGTGATGGTTGATGCATCAGAAATATGCACTATAAAAACTATAAATTCTAGGGACTGCATGATTGGAAATAACGTATTAAGTAGCCAATGTAAATAGTAAAACTATCAGCAGCATTGTGCTTGTGCTGCCGTTTAGAACGTTTTAACATGTTATGCCATTCTTATGAAGATTTATTTTGGTACATGTCATATTTTAGGCTGTAGCTCAAACTATGAATTGAATTCAAATCAGATCCAAATTTGTTTGAAACCCATAGAATATATCTTTTGGCACGAATGGCATTTAATTCTTAGCATAATTTCTAGCTGATTATGACCGTGAATACTTTTTTTACTTTTGTATTTTGCTAAATAATTAAGGCTATGCTCTTTTAGTTTTTCATTGAAATGACACCAAAAGTAACTTCATATGGAGACCTCTCTTAAAATGTAAATTGAATTGAACTCTTGTGTGGGCAGTGAATAGGTTGCTAAAAGTTTAATAGTTGATTATTAAACAATGTATAAACTTAACTTTATTGGTTTTATCATAAACAACAACTACAACCAGCTTTTATGCCACTAAGTGAGGTCGGCTACATGAATTTTTTTCCTCCATAGTATTCTATTGAGTGTTATATTTTTATTTAATTTTAATAAATTAAGATCACTTTTTATACATGTCTAAGTCTTTTTAGGTCTATCTTTGTCTTTCTCAACATAAGTCAAATCTAAAACAATAACTCTCCTAACAGTGTCATCAGATGGTCAACATTTAGTGTAACCAAACCATCTAAGGTGGCTCTCTCTAATCTAGTATGCCATTGGAACTACTCCAATCCTTTCACATATATATTTTTGTCCATTTTGTCTCTTAGTGTAAAACCACTCATCCATTTAAGCATTGTCATCTCAACAACACTTAACTTAATCTTATGCTTCTCTTTTATAGGACAACGTTCTACGCCATAGAGCATTGCAAGTCTCACCACTTATAAAATGTTCCTTTAAGCCTAAGCAGTACTTTCATCCCCATCTATATCACCGTCAAATTGAACAAGTGACCTGGGATATGTAAAACGTTCACTTCTTTTAATGACTTGATCACCAATTGTTACAACCCCATCGTTAGATCTAATATTACTAAAATTACATTATATGTATTCAATTTTAGATCTACTCAAAAGAAAGCTTTGAGACTCTAAAGTTAACCTCCATAACTCAAGTTTTTTTCTGAACTCTCTCTTTGAACTTATCCACAAGAAGGATATCATCAACAAAAAGCATTCAGTCTTATCCACTAGAAGGATATCATCAACAAAAAACATCCACCAAGGTACATCCTTCTATAAATGTCCAGTAAGTGCAACCATAACTAAAACAAAATGATATGGGTTTTAAGCTGATCTCTGATGTAATTCAACTGAAATATAAAATTACTTGTTAATACTCCTTGTATTTGGTGTTTGGACACAAATAACAACTCTAGCATACATATCTTTAATGACTTGAATATAAGCTATATGAACACCTTTCTTTTCTAGAACTCTCTAAAGTATTTCTATTGAAACTTTATCATAAGATTTTTTCTAAATCAACAAAAAATATATGTTGATCCTTGTTATTCTCTCTATACTTGTCCATCAAACATCTCAATAAATGTATAGCTTCCATCAAAGTAGGGGCATAATGTAACTTCACCTATTGTGCTCCCCTTCATTATAAATTTGGGATCATTTTATGAATGAGAGATTACAGGCCTCTCTTAAATTACTGTGTATTTCCCTCTCTGTCTCTCTCTCTTCTGGCTTACACTCTATTTTTTGGGTGTTATTCACGGACAAATCTTGATTCAACAAACACAAAAAAAATATTAACCAATTGGTTGAAAAATAAGCTTCTGTTAGTGTTACTGCTGATGTGATGGATTGTATGACTTGGATGTTGAGTTCTCTTCTCCATCTAATAGAAGCATTTTTATTCACATCTTATATCGGCAATTGAGGGTTGATTTGCGTTACTTATACAAAGATGTGTTTATAACTTTAAGTTATTTGTTAGGGGCCAGATGACGAGCTATTTCCAGCTCAGGAAGCATTACTCCATGTTCAGACACACATTGTAGATCTTGGTCCTGACAAAGATAATGTCATAACAACACGGCTTCTCGTTAGAGACCATGAAATTGGATGTTTGGACGGGAAAGATGGATCGTTATCAGATTTTCAGAGATTGACTTGTGCGAATGTGCAAGTCCTGCCTAGGGAAGATCTTCCTCTTTGTGCATTGGAGACTGATGAGCTCATCCAGGTTTGAACTCTTCATGAACGGATGAAGTGTATTTGCATCTTGCTTTCATATGATGCTTTTGGTTGCTAACTCCTTGAATTACTCATTGTTTAAAATTTAGTAAAATTTACCTACACAGCGCACAATTCTTATGTATTTTCTTATCTCACGCATAAACTTTGATATTTACATACTTAGCACTTTGTTGCTTTAATTCCATGCGTGAAAATGTATATTTCACCTTGAATTAGTGGTAATAGTACTATGTTTAATGTGTGATGTGATATCAAAGATTTAAGTGCTGTGTAAATATGAAAGTTTGAATGTGATATGTAAATACATAAGAATTGTTTGCTATGTTTATAAATTCCCCTAAAATTGTAATGTTCAATATCCATTTGAATACTCTTAAAGTGCTGCATTAATTTCAGATTGTTGGGGAGATACGAGCAGCTCGAAAAGCTCTTACTCTGTTTACTTTGAAATTACGTGGCTACCTGTATCGAGACATGTCCACACCAGACGATAGCATCCCAAATACCTTTCCCACCGCAAGCCTTGCCGGTAAGGTTATTGGATTTGATACCAGTTCTACTAGAAGTTTATCTCGTGAAGGCTATCAAGGAAGTGATACTCCCATTGCATCTTTTGAAAGCATCCGTGCTTCATCAGCAAATTGGTCATCAAAGGTAATGCTCGCTTATTTTTTTCCCGTAAGTTCATATTAACTACTTTTAAGGAAAAAAAAAGAAGATATATCTGTATGTATACATATATGTGTATACATATATATTCTCAACAGAAAATAAGGTTATTCAAAATATAGAGGGAAAACAAGGACTCCATGCATCCATGATTTCAGAGCCCAAAAAAAAATATTGGTTTGGACAGTTGAAGGTGTTTTTTTGCTGAAAACCAAAAGCTAATCAAAAGAAAGTTCATTTATATTTGAATCCAGGAGTATACGATACCACAAATTAGTAAATAAATCATTCTTCAGATTGTCGTTGTCCCAAACCCGGAATGTCCTCAAATCTCTTCCCAACGTTATTGTATTCCCAGAGCATGTGCACTCCATAGTCTACAATCCGTTCTCCGGCGAAAGCTATGGCGACGACGAAAGTGACGTAGACGGAGTTCCGGCGCATGAGAACACGGTATAGAGATTCCCAACGACCGTGCCCGCTACTCCTCGCCATGGATTCCATTTCTTGAATGTGTAGTATGCCTTCTCCCACCTCCGAAACACCGGAGAACAAAAAAAGCTAGTTGCGACTGCCGGCGACGGCGGGTGAATCTAAGGCCTTGTATAGGGAAAAAAATTGCGTGCCTAAGACGTACGCAGCGCTGCGTGAGGTTATATATATATATATATATATATAATAACAAAATAAAAAAAAAAATACTTAAAAGGAAAATGCTTTACTTGTAGATAAAGTGGTACCCAGCAAATTTTTGTTCATTTGGTGTTCAAGGAGTATTGTAAATGGTTTTTACATTACATTCTTATACTCGGCCTTGAGTGTCCAATGGATTTGTTTGGAAGCTATTCTACAAAAGTTGTAGGGTTGCTCTTGGGACCATGTCTCATCATATGACATTCAAACGTATTTTTGAAGTTTACTTGGTGCTCTGCTTGTTGATCATGTCAATGCTTCTAGTTTCACTCAGTACAAGTGATTATTTTAGGATTTTATTATGTTTCTATACATGGCATGGATAGATGGCTAATTTTAATTGAACAACCTTCCTTTTGGTGTTTTATGAGTTCCTTGTTAACTTGTGGTGTGTTCCTTGTCTTCTCGAATGAACGGACTACTAGTTTACCATTTTGATAAGAAACAATAACTAGTGACAAGAAATATAACATTTTATCTCTTGATGCTAATATACTTAATCTATATGGATCGAAATACAGATATGTAAAATTATTTGGGTAGGAAAAATTGCTCTTCACAAATAGGGTACATGTATATAAAGAAATCAATCCGTTATTATTTACAAAATTACCAAACATATCTCACCTAAATTATGAAAGTAAATAATTATGATTAAAAAATAGAAAAGTATAAAATAGGGAGTACACTAAATCAAAGGTTTTCTAAGATATTCTAATCAAATCCTTCAAGATTTGGAGGTGGTGGCGGACCCACATGAGCGTGGTAAATATAGAGAAAACAAATTCTTGTTGGATTTTCACACTCCCCCCTCAAGTTTGGTCATAGATGTTATAGAGACTGAGTTTGATATTGAATTATGAAGAGGTGTTGAAAGGAAGAGCTTTGGCGTATTTCAGTACTGCTATTCACCTTCCCCTACTCCATCTTGTCATGCCACAAGTTTGGCGTGCGGTTTTGAATTATTTCTAAGGAGCTTTTTCAGCACGTCAAGCGGCTCCTAGATGAATGATTTAGCCGACTTTTTGAATATGGTATTAGTCTTTTCCACTTTATTTTTTTTCCCTGTCTAGATTTCCAACATGCAGGTTTTTCATGAAGTTTCTAACATTTGTCATTGATATGTCTAATCTTCTTGTAATAGTCACATGTGGGACGATTCTTCTTGTGCTTTGAGTCATGGGAGTAATTATGAGTATATAATACCGAGCTTTCTGTACTTGGTGAACTCGCATTTTTTGTCATCTTCAACTTTTTTCTGCTCTCTTCGCTCCTGACTTCGATAATGGCTTCATGGATTGATGGAAGGGGCTTTGTTTCTATAATCTCCCCTCTCACCTCATCCAATTCCTAAGTTAATCCTACTAGAAATTTGATAGTTATTTTTTTTTCTCGATAATGGATTTAAACATCATAGCATCATGTGGATATTTCCACACGTCTCAAACATATCCAATTGTTGTCAATATTTTGTCAAGGTGTTGAAATATTGGATGGCACTTAGCTCTCCTTGAGGAAGGTCATGAAGCTTCATTTCAATTTCAAACTATGCTCAAATATATTTTTCTTGTGGCCTCCCAGATATCTTTAACAGTTTTGTAGAGCAGAAGATTTTCTCCCACTTCAGTGGTCATTGAGTTGATTAGCTAACCATACGATCTCGATTCTTTCATTTGCGATGCTTGGGATCAATGATCTCAGGAACCGTGCCTTCTCCCATGAGATGTTCATTTTTCTCTTTTCCACAAATGTACATAAGCATGGAGTATGACTCGTGGAGGTGGTTATGACCATTGAGTTTATGATTTATGATAAAGTTAGAGGATTCAAGAGTTATGTTTCAAATTTAACTATTAGACGTGAACTTGATGTCTTCATCCCATATTTGGTTATCAATCCTAATAGTATTTACAGCTACTTTTAGTTCACTGAGGTTGTCTTTAACAGTTTTGGTAGTTTCTGCAGGCAGGTGGAAGGCTAATGTAGGAAAGGAAGTGCTACAGATAATGTTGTAGTGAAGAATCGAGAAAGGGCCTGCAGTAGCGAGAATTTATGGCTGAGGGCCTGCAGTTGGAAGATTGGTTGTGTGGAGAATTCTGGAGGGCCTGCAACTAGGATGGTTTTGATGGCAGAAATTGAATAGAAGAGATTTGCAAGGAAATTATGGAGCTTAGAAGAGGAGGAGCTCCAGAGGACGGCCTACAGATTGGATGAGAGGATTCCAGTGGAGGAGGGCCTACAACAGGAGTATTCCGGCTGTAGGGAGAGCTCTGGCGGCAAAGTAGAATAGTAGGGTCTGCAGAGAGTATTCCGACGTTCATGGCTGAAGGGAGAAACTCTGGATGAGCGTTTGGTGCAGAAAAAAACTTTGGCGGAAGGCCTACTATAGGGAGAAGCTCCAGAGGATGGTTTACACGAAGAAAAGTGACTGCAGGAAGGATGCAAGCCTACGACATAGAAAGTCCGGAATTGCTTCTGCTGTTGTCAGGGAATATCCGGAGTCGTGCAGAGAAGAGCTGAGCTGCTGCTGGAAGGATGAACAATGTTGCTGCTACTGTTGCCTGCTGGAAGGATGTGGGGAGAGAATCTCCTGCAGCAGGAAAAGATCCAAACAATAGAAAAAATCCGGACAGCAGGAAAAATACGGATAGTAGGAAAAATACTGGAGGAGATAAAAAAAAAATCCATAGGAGATATGGGTTTGCAGGCAGTGGAGATGCTGGACTGCAACAAGGAGATGCGACTGCAGGTAGAGGAGATAGGAGCCTACTGGAAAGCGTTCCGACTGCCAGTCAAAGAGAAGGCCTGTTCCTCCTGCGACACAGAAGATTTGCACTACTGAGAGGTCTCCTGCGGCAGAGAAGATTTGGAAAATAGTAACACCTAATGGTTTAGGCTGTGATGATGTCTACTACAGAGAGCAAATGGTTTCCACTATGGCTGAAGGAAGAAACCATTGCTTCCAACTTGCGACTGGGAAGAGGCAGCACCTGCATCTGTAAGGGAACAAAAACTATCAGCTGTAGGGGAATAAGAAATTCCCGGCGACTAGAGGCTCTAGGGTTTGTTCTAAGGCCCTGATATCATGCAGAATTATTTGGGGAGGAAAAATTGCTCGATTCATTATTTACAAATTGGGTATGTATATATAAAGAATTCAATCCCTTCTTATTTACAAACTTATAAAGCATATCTCACATAAATTAGGAAGGAAATAATTTTGAATAAAAAATAAAAAAACATTTCTCACCAAAATTAGAAAGGAAATAATTTTGAATAAAAAATAAAAAAAAAACATAAAATAGGAAGTAAATCAATGGTTTCTTAATATATCTCAATCTAATCCTCCAAGATCTTGAGGTAGTGGTCGCCCACGTGAGAGAGGTAGATATGGGAAGAAACAAATCTTCTCAAATTTTCACCGGATAAAATCAATATTTTGTTTTTATGTGTGTGCCATGCTTGGGCAATCATTTGGAACCAAGGTATGGGTTTTTGTGCACACTTTGGAGTAATTTTGGATTGTTATCAAACCAAGTTCTAATTATTGTGATGAGAAAACTTTTGGAGATCATCAAGAAGGGTGGTATTAATATTATGTCGATTGAAATGATTGTATACAGAAATTATTGTTAAAATAAAAGTAAAATGGGATAGAAATGAAGATGTACTAAAACATGGGATAGTTTATGCTATAATTATCTAGATTTAGGAGATTTATGCATGCCACTATGGATGGACTAAATGCAATAGGATTGTGAAGGAAGAAAGATTGATCATAGACAATTGGCTTGAAGTAGTGAATTAAATTTAAAGAACATGTAATAGTTACTGGGCTTTAATAAAGAAGGATCTGCACCGCTGAACCCAAATAGTTGAAGAGTGGTTAATTTATTACGATGAAATATGAAGTACTATATTTAAGTTCCTGAATTTCACAACAGACAAAATTTTTATGGAATCAAACAGAACTTTTACCAAGAAGTTTTATGTTGAAAAAGAAGGGTGTTGATATCTCTGTGCTTTCTGGATGTTAGATCCAAATGATGATACATTTTGGAAGATGACGTTGAATAATTTTTTTTCCTTTGTAGGTTACTTTTGGTAGTGCATGAAGCCTTTGTTGGTTAGAAGGGGTTTTTTTAATTGTTTTCTCCGCCATCCATCCCTCCATGCAAGAATAATTGATGTTTTTCAATACTTCCAAGTTCAGCGCTCATTCTTTATAGTTGCGCATCTACCCAGCAAAAAGTGGGTAATGTTATTTTTCCTTCTTAAAATAATCTACAACTTCTGATGTTATAAATCTATCTTACCACTTCCTTTGCTGATTTATTAGTATTGAGAAAACCTCACGAAAACTCACCTGTCAAAATGTATATTTCTTTACTTGGTTTATATGATCTTCTAGACGCTTAAGGCTGCACTCTTAGTAGATTTGCTGTCATACCGGACTTGACATCCCATTGGGCTAAATCTGGTTTTATCCGGTGTATTCTTCATGAGATAAGATCGTTCTGAGATGGCTGCTTTGTCTTCCACATGAAAAGTAAACCAGAATAGTTGATTGCTTTGGTTTCATTTATCAGCTACAGAGCATTTGGTACGTCCATGGTAGAAATGCAAATGCCAGCCATATTTTATAAGCGTAGACATCCAAGTGTTCTGCCACTATTCATTTTCTATCTCCATGGATTCACAGACGACGGCTACAAACAACCCCTACCAAGACTTTGGGTTACTCAATACACTCAGCTCAATTCACCTTTTTTTTTTAAGCTAATTGTTTAATAACGTTTCTTCAGCCCTAATAGCAAGTTGTGTGACCTTAGAACGCTGAGCTCAACTATTGGCTTCCCTTTTCATTTGTATTTATATTCTATATATTTTTTTCTTTCCATA